AGAGTGAAGAAACCTCCAGAGCAAGCTTTGATTAATTCATTAAAAGTTAGGACACGTTTTTCCAGTCCTTCGCTCTACAACGTTGACTTTTCTCTCTCACAATGCTATAAAAACTCTCTAAGAACTCTCAAAAAACTCCGAAAATGCTTCAGAGGGGCTCTAAAGGAAGAATTCTAAGAAATGCTAGAAGGAAAAGTGGAAGAACTATGTGAAATGAAAGGGAGAGCGCCCCCCTTTTATAGGGATTCGCGCCTGTCAGGTCGAGACCGCCATCTCGCTTGGCAAGGTCGAGACAGCCATCTCGTCATTCAGGACGGCGGTCTCGTCTTTGACAAATGGCGAGACGGTCGTCTCACCAATCAAGACGGTGATATCGACTTGCCAAATGCGAGAGGGTCGTCTCGTCAATTGGGAAGGTGGTCTCGCTATGGCAAGTGGCGAGACGACTGTCTCGCCAAACGAGACGGTGGTCTTGACTTTGCCATTGGCAAGATGGCGGTCCCGATAAGCGAGACGGCGGTCTCGACCCTTAAGATGGAAATCCTTATTTTTTTATACAGAAAAACCTTCCTACTCTAATATGGGGCCTAATAGTCTATCCTAGGGACCTTTTAGGCCTTGCCCATCTTCCAATTGGAGGTCTTTTGTTCTTTATTTTGAGGTCGGGCAAGATTTGGGGTCTACAGCTGCCCCCCCACCTTCACCTGACTAGCCGACTGTTAGCCTATTATGCCAAGAAGATCGACTAGAGGGTGAAGGAGTTAACCCTCTTGCCGAGTTGTCCTTCAGATGCTCCGTCTTGCGGCGGCTGATCCTTTGGGGAAAAAATGTATTTTGCGCCTCCAGGATGCTCCTTCTTGCGGTAGCTGACCCCTTTGGTTGACACATGGTAGAACCTCAGGATGCTCCTTCTTGCGGTAGCTGACCCTTCGGTTGATGAGTATAAACCCCCCATCAGGCTGGTAGTTGCAGCATATGCTTGATGAAGTCACCTATATGAATGTCGAGTGGGGTCGCTTGTATGAGATCTTTGTAAGATTTCTAGAGCACTCATGAATACCAGGCACGCGTATGGCCTAGTAAGCGCAACACAGCGATAATAGCAAGAATTGTGGGGGTGTATTGTGATTGTTAAATTTCTAACACACACTAAGTGTTTTGGTTCATATAACTTGCTACACCAACTACACTATATGTTAAGTTTTCAGTCTAAGACTAGTTCATATAGTTTGCTATACCAGCTCTAATGCATTACATCTTATATGAGACCCAGAATTTTTTTTATTCTTTATCTCTTTTGTTTTGCAATATGTGGGGGATTATTGTAAAATAAGGGGTATTGCAAAACTTAGAATGTTACAGAGAACGTTACAAAAAACGTAAGTAGTTAGGGTTTTGAGACCAATCTACACCTATAAATAGAGATCACTTCACACTCTTCCATATACACCTCTCTCATCATCTCTTCTCTATTTTCTTCCTATTCTACTATTATTCTGGGTTTATTTACTCCTTTAAGAGTTTCTTGCTAGTTTTTTATATCCTCAGAAATTCCAAAAAGTTCTTATTGTATCTTGGGGGACTTGTGTAATACACCGCGGATAAGTCCTTAAGGACAGTGATTATACACGCCTCAGAAATAAATTTTGTTTGTGTCTCTGTCAGCTTTTACAACAATATATTATTTGAGAACTGCAAAAAAATAATCGGGATGAAGGATGGTAGGAGCTCAGGTGCTTAGGAAGATGACAAGTTGGGAGATCGGTCAACAAAGTGTTGAAGACAACGAGTTGGGAGATCAGTATCAAAACGATCTCAATTTTGTTGAAGAAATTTAATTTTACAAAAGATGTTGAATTATTGGCAAACATATCAAAATTATCAATCGCAGTATATTATTTCGATGTAATAAAAGTCGATCCCACGAGGAACGATTTCAATAGAAATTCCCAATTATATACTTACTAAGTGGATTAAAATAAAATGAGATTTACATAAAGAGTTGAATTGAAATTAAATGACAAAGAACTATAAATTATTTAGAAAAGATCAATTAAAGGTATTTAGGATTTGCTTCCTTCCTTATCCCTCTTTTGCAATGACTATGTCAATTAAGAACATCAATTAACCTAACAATGTTGATGTCACCTACTCAAATCATCCATGTTGATTTCTCACACATTTACATGGGTTTATTTACTTCCTACTCTATTTTCTTCCTGTTCTACTATTATTTTTGGTTTATTTACTCCTTTAAGAGTTTCTTGCTAGTTTCTGATATCCTCAGAAATTCCGAAAAGTTCTTGTTGTATCCTGAGGGACTTACGCAATACAGCGCAGATAAGTCCTTAAGGGTAGTGATTATACACACCTCAAAAATAAAGTTTGTTTGTGTCTCTGTCAGCTTTTACAACACTATGTTATTTGAGAACTACAAAAAAATAATCGGGATGAAGGATGGTAGGAGCTCGGGTGCTTAGGAAGATGACAAGTTGGGAGATCGGTCAACAAAGTGTTGAAGATAGCGAGTTGGGAGATCGGTATCAAACCAATCTCACTTTTGTTGAAGAAATTTAATTTTACAGAAGATGTTGAATTATTGGCAAGCATATCAAAATTATCAATCGCAGTATAGTATTCCGATGAAATAAAAGTAGATCCCACGAGGAACGATTTCAATAGAAATTCCCAATTATATACTTACTAAGTGGATTAAAACAAAATGGGTTTTGCATAAAGAGTTGAATTGAAATTAAATGACAAAGAACTATAAATTATTTAGAAAAGATCAATTAAAGGCACTTTGGATTGACTTCCTTCCTTATCTCTCTTTTGCATGACTATGTCATTTAAGAACATCAATTAACCTAACAATATTGATGTCACCTACTCAAATCATCCATGTTGATTTCTCACACATTTAAGGGATTTTCCAGCATTAGGTTTAGGGTGTTAAGAAATTGATACATTCATTTCATTCCTGGATGGCAATTAACGTAACAAGTATTCTCATCGTGATTTAGGGTTCAAGATATATTTTTCAATCATACCCCAAACATCAAGAATAAATCATTCCATAGCACAAAAGATAAGAATAACAACATCAAAACATAGATTAATATCTCAAAATATCACCATGATACAAAAGAGTTCAAAGGAAGTTCACCAAATCCCAAGAGAATGAAGTTAGCCACTCATGGTGGCCATTACAATGCTCCAAATGTGGAAGAAGTGAAGAATTGATAAGATTGAATGAAACATTGTCAGTAGTCGCGTCTCTTCTCCCCAAAACTGCTTGTTTTTCTCAAAATACATCTTATCTTTTAATAGGAAAAATTGGGTCTCGCGTCTTTTGCTCAAGTGACAACACTCGCTCAAGCGAAATTTCCCTATTATCGCTCAAGCGGCAAAGTGCTCGCTTGAGCAAGTGAGTTTCAGAAAAGAATAACTAATTTTCGCTCAAGCAAAATTTCTGGTGCTTGAGCAATTGACTTCTAGAGAGTTTTAACTGATTTTCGCTCCCATGCTGAAAATCTTCTTCCTCCTTTCAGTTTTGTTCCAATTATATTGACAATTATGCTCCTTACTTGTATCAAAGTATTCTCAAATTCATCATACATTATGAGAAAAATAGATTAAAATTGACATAAGTTAAGTGATTTCATAATAATTAAAAGTATAAGCATATCAACTTTTTACCACTTAACAAAAGAGTTTTGTTAGGTTTTATTGAATAAAATTAAATAGTTACTTTTAGAGTTTATTGTAATAAAAAGATAATAAAAAAATAATTAGGAGTTTGTTGGAATATTTTGATATTAGTGATATCTTAAGTAATTATTATTTATTTTGGGAAGATCCTAGGTCTGTGTACAAATACAACATTGTATTTCTCTATTGAAATATAACAAAGAATCAATAATATACACTTTTATCGTTTCAGGAAAATTAGAATCAATAATATACACTTCTACCGTTTCCGAAAAATTCTTTCTTATCACTTTTAATACAACTGTAATTAGATATACATGCATGCATCATTAAAATAAAAATAAGTAGCTCGAATTTTCTTCAATTTTTTTTCTAAAAGATTTAAAAATATTTTAAAAGAATGAATAGTTGCAACAATTAAAATAGTATAATAATTTTAAAGGTAAATGAGAATATACTTTTTTCTTAAAATAATCACCCCCAAACTGTAAATACTTGAATGCTAGATCTTGACTGTGAGCATGTGACCCTGTTTGCCTCTTAGTTTTGGTCAGTCGCTTGGTTGTGTTCACCACAGTTGTCACATGACAGTAGTCTTTGTCTCTTGTAGTAATTAGGAGGAACATATGGTCCTCACTGTAAAATTGTTAGAACACTGTATAAGAACTTTGGCCAAAGAAAATTATCATGTGAGTGTAAACACTTGTGTCATCAAGTGGGATTAAACAAGATTTGGTTTCAACCTGAGTATAGTTTTAGTATCTTAAATCTTAATAGGTTTGGGTTATCACCAAAAGAAAACTTTGAGCCTCTACAAACTCCATTTTAATATCCCTATCAATGTGAAAAGTGTTATAAAACTCGAACCAGTTGTTGATTCAGAACTGGATTAAAGGATGTTAACACATGATCACTGTTGATATTTTTTTTAAATGTAATATAAACCAATTTCTCACCATATAAGTGCAACGCGTAAAAACAAATTAGAAATTTTAATTAATATATTGACCTAATTCTCATAACTGAAGTTTCTGATAGAACTAGTAGTTCTAGAAATGCTCACCAAAAATTACTCACTTATTGTTGAACCAGAAGAAGCATGCATGACTGACTGCCATTGTTGCCATTTGTCAAAACAGCTATGTTCTTTACCTCGTAAGTGCAAATATTCATTAATTACTTTCTTCAACTTGAACCCTAATTGATGCTATAAAATATACCCATGGTGACCTAAATTCTCATCCAATTTCCACTTGAAACTACCATTCATATTCAATCTGACTGTTGTAATGGCTTCAATAGGTGCTCAACAAGCAAATGATGAAGACAAGCTCGGTGTCTCCCTTCGCAGAGAGAATGCTTGGGCAGACACTTATCATTTGTACCTGTTTGAAAATTTTTGGTGTCCATCAATTCATTTTCAAGCAGTAAACAATTTTCAGAAAGAGTTTCAAGCAAAAGAGAGTGATGTTGTTGTTGCTAGCTTTCCAAAATTAGGTACGATTTGGTTAAAAGCCCTTACTTTTGTCATTGTCAATCACCAAAGTTTCTCCTCTTTAGAGGACCATCTATTACTCACTTCCAATCCTCATGAACTTGTGCCTTTCTTTGAGTTTATCATTGGTGGTAATTATATTCATAACCAAAATCTTCACTTATCCACCATGACTGAGCCAAGGGTTTTTGGTACTCACACTCCATTTCCATCATTACCCAAGTCAATCAAGGAGTCTAATTGTAAGATAGTTTACATTTGCAGAAACCCGTTTGACAACTTTGTTTCTGCATGGAATTACTTTAATAAAATTAAGCCAGTGATTGTGTCTGAGTTAACATTAGAAGAAGCCTTTGAAATGTATTGTAATGGGATAATGGATTATGGTCCATGGTGGAGTGATATGTTAGGATATTGGGAAGAGAACATGGTTCGACCAAACAAAGTTTTGTTCTTAAAGTATGATGATCTCAAAGGAGATATCAATCAACATGTCAAAATTATTGCAAAGTTCTTGGATTGTCCTTTTTCTGAGGAAGAGGAGAGCAATGAAATGATTGAAAGCATAATCAAACTATGTAGCTTTGAGAAGATGAAAGATTTGGAAGTAAATAAATCTGGAATGTACAAGGGTAGTATTGAGAAAAAGAACTTTTTTCGAAAGGAGAGACTGGAGATCGGGTGAATTACTTTTCTCCTTCAATGATAGAAAAATTATCCAAAATCATTGAAGAAAAATTAAATGGATCAGGTCTCTCATTTGGAAGTGCTACCTTGCCAATAATCACCTCATGCAGTGGCTGTGATGTCAAGTAGAATTAATGCAATATGTTATTATCCATTTTCCTTTGATAAATAAATAGGTGTCATATTGTTAAGTGGTAGAAAAATTGAAAGAAAGAAGAACGCTTAAACGAATGAATGATGCGAGACCTGATCCAAATTCTCTTATAAAAAGATAAGATGTGTTTTGAGAAAGGAAGCAATTTTGGGGAAGAAGAGACGCGAATACTGCTAGGGTTTCGTCCAATCTTCATCAATTCTTCACTTCTTCCACATTTGGAACATTGTAATGGCCAACATGAGTGACTAACTTTATTCTCTTGGGATTGGGTGCACTTCCTTTGAACTCTTTTGTATCATGATGATATTTTGAGATATTAATCTATGTTTTGATATTGTTATTTTTATCCTTTGTGCTTTGGAATGATTTATTCTTGATGTTTGGGGTATGATTGAAAAATATATCTTGAACCTTAGATCACGGTAAGAATATTTGTTACGTTAATTGTCAGGAATGGAATGAATGTATCAATTGCTTAACACCCTAAACCTAATGCTGGAAAATCTCTTAATTGTGTGAGGAATCAACATTTATTAGGTCTTCTTATGAATTTCATGTGTGAGGAATCAACATGGATGATTTGAGTATGTGACATCAACATTGTTAGGTTAATTGACGTTCTTAGTTAACATAGTCATTACAAAAGAGGGATAAGGAAGGAAATCAATCCTAAGTACCTTTAATTGATATTTTCTCAACAATTTACAGTTCTTTGTCATTTAATTTTAATTCAAGTCTTATTGCAAAACCCAATCTGTTTTAATCTACTTAGTAAGCATAAAATTGAGAATTTTTATTGAAACCGTTCATCGTGGGATCGACTTTTATTTAATCGAAATACTATACTGCGATTGATAATTTTGGTATGCTTGCTAATAATTCAACAAGTATTTACGGCGCAGTTGCGGGGAACGGTGTTTTTTGAGAATTCTTTGTTTAGCTTATTAAGTATTTTATTTTTATTTCTGTTTTATTTTATTTTTCAGTTTTATTTTGATTAATTATTGTCTTGTGCTAATTTTTGCTTGAGTTACTCTTTTGATTTATGAGTTTAAGAGGATAGGTATCTTCAGAGCAATTAGAATTTAATCCGAAGATTGAAAAAACAGCTCGGAGAAACTAGGGTAGAAGAAGAAGGGAAACTCAAGAACAAGCTACAAGAGAATCTGCTAATTCTTCTTCTACACTTGATTTACCAGACCCAATTATAAAATATATGGCAGAAGACGGAGCAAATCTGAATCTGAATCCAAATCCAAATATAAATCCAACTCAAAATTTGGATTCAAATCCACCTATAAGAACTCTCAGAAACTATGTTATGCAGCAAGGTCTAAGACACTTTTCCAGCATTGCCATACCAGACGATCAAACATTGCAGATGAATCTAGCTTTCTTAAGCCTAATTAGTTCTCATCAATTCACTGGATTGGATCATGAAGACCCTTATATTCATTTGTCTAATTTTTATGAGTTGATTGGTACCATGGGATTTAGAGCAGCAAATCTTGAATATGCATATTTGAGATTATTTCCTTTTTCTTTGGCAGGTAGGGCAAAGGAGTGGTTGAAGGCACATCCTAATCAGAGTTTGACTAATTGGAGTAGCGTAGAAGAGAAGTTTCTGAACAGATTTTTCCTACCATCCTGCTACATCAAAGCAAAATCTGACATCACTTCTTTCAGACAAGGAGCAGATGAATCTTTTTATGAAGCATGGGAGATATTTAAATCACTGTTGAGAAGATGCCCAAATCATGGATTTGAAGACATTTCTCAATTGAATATTTTCTATAATAGCCTGCGACCTGATACAAAGATGCTATTAGATGATGCAGTAGGAGGATCCATGCTAGATGCAGAAATCGAACATGCCACAAGAATTATTAATGCATTAGTCTTTATAGACCAACATGCCCAACATGATAGACATCCAACTCAAAAGAAAGGAATGTTAGAGCTTAATACTTCAGATGTTATGCTAGCTCAGAATAAAATTCTGACTAAACAGATGGAAGCATTGACGCAACAACTAGCGAAGTTACCTCAACAAATACATGCTATTCAAGCTTCTCCTGTTCAACAGTTCATGAAATGTGACTTGTGTGGAGGTGATCATTCAAATGAACAATGCTCTTATCAAGGCAACATTCAACAACAAGAAGTTAATTATATGGGTGTTCAAGGTAGTAGTCAAGGCAGACAAGGTAATTTTCCTAATCCCAATAATTATCAGAATAATTTTGCACAAGGATGGAGAGAGAATCAAAATCAGAATCAGAGTTTTGGGTGGAACCAAGGTGTTAATTCATCTACTAGACAACCTGTATTTCAACAACAGTCATATCAGCAACCTCCATATCAACAGCAACAACAACATTATCCTTCAATGCCTAATAGAATGAGTAAAATGGAGGACACTTTAGAAAAATTCATGCAAAACACTATGACTAATCAGAAAAATACTGAGGCTTTATTCAGAAATTTAGAGACCCAAATGGGCCAACTAGCTAAACAATCATCTGAATAGTAAGGAGGACAGTTTTCAGCTAATACACAAACCAACCCTAGGGAGCAATGCAATTCAATAACTACAAGGAGTGGAAAAGTTGTAGGTAAGGGGATTGGTGACAATATAGTTGTTGAAGAAGAAGTTCTGGTAAAAGAAGATGAAGAGAAAGAAGAGGAGAGTAAGAAAGAAAGATATATTCCTAATAAGAAGAACGAAGAGGGAAAGAAAAAACAAAAGATAGAAAAAGGAGAGAGTCAAAAACCATTTGTAGAGAAGTTACCATATCCCAAGGTTCCCTCACAGATAGACAAAAGAAAGACAATTCACCAGATTTATGGATATTTTCAAAAGACTGCAGATTAATATATCCTTTGTGGAAGCTATGGAGCAAATGCCAACATATGCCAAATTCATGAAAGAGCTCTTAACTAAGAAAAGAAGATTTACTGATGAAACAGTGGAGTTAGAGGCAGAGTGTAGTGTTATATTCCAAAAATCATTGCCTCAAAAGTTCAAGGACCCTGGAAGCTTCACTATACTAGTCACAATTGGTACATTACCAGTGAAAAAAGCATTACTTGATTTAGGGGCCAACATGAACTTCATGTCATTATCTATGCTCAAAAGAATAAGAGACTTAGATGTTAGACCAACTAGAATGACTCTGCAACTAGCTGACAGATCAATAAAGATTCCTTATGGAGTAGCAGAAGATGTTTTAGTTAGAGTGGATAAATTCATATTTCCTGTTGATTTTGTGATTATGGACATGGAGAAAAATGAGGAAGTCCCATTGATCTTGGGAAGGCCATTTATGAAGACTGCCAAAGTAATTATAGATGTTGACATGGGCAAGTTGAAAATTATAAGTGGAGATGATGAGGTTAATTTTAATCTGTTTGAAGCTGTACAACAACCGGAAGACAAGAAAGATTGCCTCAGAATAGATACTTTGGAAGAATTACCCATCTCAACTGAAAAACAAGATTACAAGCCTATTACACAACCCCAAAGACATCTCATTCTGACTATGAAGGAAGTTGTTCAAAGAGAGATACTAAAACCTCCTGAAGCAGGTATGATTTATCCAATCTCTGACAGTTGTAAGATTATTCGCAATGAAAAGAATAAATTCATTCCCACAAGGACAGTCAAGGGATGGAGAATGCGTATAGATCACCTTGATCACTCACCTGCATGAGCCCGAAAGCAAATAGGCGTCGAGCTGAAGACGTTAAACAAGCGCTCCTGGGAGGCAACCCAATGTTTTGAATTTTTTTTTTCTTCTTGCAGTTTAAGTTTTTTGTGCATTTTTCTTCCTTAGATTCTTTCTTTGCAAAATTGCTCCAGGTACACAATGAACTTCTCCTCAAGACTTTGAAATCTTACTTCAATGGCCTAGGGACAGTCCAACATTTCTGGGAGGGGGTGAGAAAGTCTGCAGCTGAGGCGGAGGCACAAGAAGAAGTAGGAGAATCAGCAAGTGAAGAAGAATAAAAGGGAGACAACAATTTAATTTAAGTTTAAGTTTTTTTTTGTGTTAAGTTATTTGTTTTGTTAATTTGATGTTTTTAAGTTTTTTTATTATTATTTTAATTTGTTTTGTTTTGAATATTTGAATTGACACTTAATGTGGTGAATGTTTTAAATTGATGTGATTTAATTGTTGTCTCATACAATTTGGATTAGAGCCAATTATGAAATTATTGTTATTGTCTAATTCAAATCTAGAACTTGAAGAAAATCATTTTGATTGTTTCCAATAACAAGTGATTTTGGAATTATGAGTATGATAGTGAAAAAGAATTGATGAGGAGAATTAGGAATTAACTGAATTGGAGAGGCTAGCCAAAACTCAGGTGAGTAGAGAACCAAAAATAGATAAATTGAGTGTCAACACTTTATGATGATAACTGATATTGGTTGATTCTTTGATGTAATTGCATGTTGACAAGACTTGAAAATGGTAAAGACATTTTTTTTTTGTAGTAGATATATAACCCAGAGCCAAATAGTCAACCCTGCATTAATTATAGGACATCCATTTGAACCCCTTCTGAGCCAAAAATAATATTGTTTCTTAAACAGAACCCCTGAGCCTAAAAACTATTTATCTACCTTCCTATATTTGAGAAAGGAAATGAGTATGAATGTTTTTATTTTTCCTATTATTGGGGATTACTATTGTTGTCCTACGGGTATTATTAGGGTGTTATTATAAAAAAAGAAAAACAAAAAAAGTGTAAAGGAAAAGGAAAAGCAAAACTTAAAAATTGTGGCAAAGCCAAAAAGGATACATGCAAAAACATGAGAAAAGAAAAAAAAAAGT